GCAAGGACACAGGGGCCCCATGATCACCTATTGCCCGGGGGCCCCATAAGTTGTGAGTCCGCCCCTGCATATAACTCATCTTTTATGACATTATACCCAACTATTTGAAAAAAAAATGCCTCCCCTCTTTGAGATCTTTCAGCTTTTTATTTTTTTTAACAGATGAGTGTAATCTATGGCACATGATGTCATCAGTGATATCTTTCACTACAAGGCTTGTATTTGTGAAGTTAGGTTTATTAGTCTTTGTGATGTACCAGTGTGGCCACTGTAGGCAAAGCTGTGTACGGGTACGTTGCTGCCTACTTCCACATTTCAGGCATGTGCACCCCCCTCCATCAGCACTGTGACTATACAAGTCCCAAGTACCGGCCAATGATTCACTGCTGGGGCTGCTGATTGGCTGTGTATGATCACATCCCAGAGGCTCTGTGTTGGTAAACAACACAGAGCTCTGTAGAGATGGAGCAATCTGTAATATGTTATCTGTAACATAGTAACCCATTGAACCCCTTAAACTAGCCCTAAATGTTAACCCCTTCCCAGCCAGTACCATTAGTACAGTGACAATGTATAGTATTATCACTGATCACTGTATTAATGTCGCTGGTGATGTCAGTATCAGTTAGCGTCAGTTTCCCCGCCACACTCCCACAGTCCCGCTATAAGTCACTGGTCGCTGTCAGTAGTAGTATAAAAAAAATCCAGTATACATACCATAGTCTGTAGGCATTTTAACTTTTGTGCAAACCAATCAATACCCACATGGAAGAAAGATATATTTTAAATATATTTTAAAAATATTCTTCCCAAATATATTGACAATATATTTGATATATTGATATATTTTGGCCGTATTCAATATATTTCAAAATATAAATATATCCTAGATTGTAAGCTCCAAGCAGGGCCCTCGAACTATCGTGTATTGCACTGTATTGTTACTGTACTGTCTCGTGTACTGTCTCCCATTGTAATGTACAGCGCTGAACAAACTGTTGGCGCTATATAAATACTGTATAATATATATATATATATATATATATATATATATATATATATATATATATATATGTATGTTGAAATCCTTTTTTTTTTATATATTACAAGATATATGAAAAATAATTTTAAAAATAAACTTTCAAATATACTGTATGTCTTTAAAAATACATTTAATCACATTTTTGAAAAGCATTTACAAATATATGTAAAAATATAAGATCAAATGACTTTTTATACGTAAAAAAATATGAAGAATATATTTAAAAATATATGTATTTTTAAAAATATTTTCATATATTTTGTAATATATAAAGATTGCATTTCAACATACGGTGTGTATTTATGTGTGTGTGTGTGTGTGTGTGTGTATATATATATATATATATATATATATATATATATATATAATTTTTCTTTTTAATATATTGAATACGGCCAAAATGTTTGTATTTCAAATATATGTCAATATATTTGGGAAGAATATTTTTAAAATATATTTACAATATATTTTTCTTCCATGTGGGTATACTGTACACTTAATGTTTTTTTGTTTTTTTTTTACAAATGTTATCTGTAACTAGGCAGTATCCATAATGAACAAAGTAAAATGCTTCAGGTACAAAGGAAGATATTAGTCCACTGACTAGATCAGGTAATATCAAATAGCAATCATGCCAATGGTCTATATAAGGAAGGTGGTACAGGACAATAACATCCATGAACTTGAAAAGCAATGAAGTTCAATATCCAAAGGCATCTCTAAGTAGGGTCGTGATTTGCATGGGATTTTTTTTATCAAAGACATGTAGCAGAATACATTTTGGACAAAATTTATGAAGACATTTGATTTTTTTTATTGGATATGTTTTGTAAAAGAAAGTAAAACATATTGGGGGTTTTTTTCAAAATTTTTGGTCTTTTTTTCATGCATATAGCAAAAAATAAAAAAACACAGTGGTGATCAAATACCACCAAAAGAACACTCTATTTGTGTAAAAAAAAATTATATAAATTTCATTTAGGTTCAGAGTCGCATGACCGCACAATTACTAGTTAAAGTAGCGCAGTGTGGTATAGCAAAAAATTGCCTGATATGAAGGGGGTAAAACCTTTCGGAGCTGAAGTAATTAACCACTATATACATTGGCCAGACGAGAGCAGTGCAGGGGCGGGTGGCCGTTTATAAACATCCTCACCACTACCTTGCTTGTGCGTGCTCCATTGAAGCGTGCAGCACCACGATCTGGTGCCTGCTGTGTCTGGAGGACACAGCGGAACACTGATTGCTGTACGATATCTCTGTGTGAGGTCCCGATCATGTGATCACTGATTGGCCAATCAGTGATCACATGAAGAGTAGTAAGCAAGATGTCACTTCTGACACCATTGCTTACTACCTGTGAAATCTGTGAATGATCACAGAGGTTACATGGTACAGGGCTATTCACAACAGCCTTGTACCATGTGACAAGCTGTGACCAATCACAACAACCAAAATAAACAGTGCAAAGCAATACCCAAACCAAATTAATTAATATTAAAATTTATATTAAAGTGTCCAAAAAAAAATGTAACGTGTCCAAAAAAAAAAAATAAAAATAAACATAAAGTCCTTTCTCCGAAATTCCAGAGTGCTTCAACAAAAAAATATTTGGGTTATCCTCCTGTGATATGTGCTTCCACCATCCACCAGTGCTAAACCAACATAAACCGCACTCACCAGATATTGGTGAATACAGGGGCGGACTGACCATTTGGAAACTCGGGCACTGCCCGAGGGCCCAGGGTCAGTAGGGGGCCCCATGAGATGCCCCTGGTACCTTTTTCATAGGCTTTCTTGAGTTTGGGCAAGGACACAGGGGCCCCATGATCCCCTATTGCCCGGGGGGCCCCATGAGTTGTCAGTCCGCCCCTGGGTGAATAGTAGGCCTTTTAGGACTTTTAAGGATCCTACACCCTCTCTACAGCCTCCAGACCTCCATTCCACCATACAGGGCTAGGATGATCCTTCCACTCACTTCTTGATAAAGACTTCCAAACCCGCTCCACAGCTGTGCCCGAGGAAAAAAATATTGCATATAGTGTGATATTGCTAATGACCATATACCATGTATATAATAATACCAGGCCACTCACATTTCACAAGATCCATAAAAGCATTATTTATTGGCCTCCACCAACCAATCACAACTCACACAGTATTTCTCAATGGCTGCAAGAATACAGCCAGAGAGAAGGAGAAATTATTGCTTTTAGAGCTTTTATGGGTGTAAAAGCAATCAGTGGAAAAAAAAAAAAAAAAATCTTCATCAACCCTCACAAGTAGTACAGTGTCACTATGATGACAATGTACTGCTAGGGGGACAGTATGTTAAAAAAAACATAAATAAAAATATAAAAAGTAAAATAAAAATGTAAAAAAAAAAAATTAGAAAAATTATACTTTTTGGTTATAAACTAATTTGGGTTTTTTTTTTTTTTACTAAAAAGATAACTGAATAAATTTTGGCCAATATTTTTGAAGAAAGGTTATTTATTTGCAAAATTTTATAAGAAAAAGTTTTTTTCAAAATTTTTGGACATTTTCATTTATATAGTAACAAAAAATAAAAAATCCCAGTGGTGAATAAATACCACCAAAATAAAGCTTTATCTGTCTCAAAAAATGCTAAAAAATTAATATGGGTACAGTGTTGCATGACCGCGCAATTGTCATTCAAAGTGTGATAGCACTGAAAGCTTAAAATTGGCCCAGACAGGAAGGGGGTGAAAGTGTCCAGACTTGAAGTGGTTAAGAAGGAGAGGATCCACTTTAAATGCACCACTAACATGTCCACTTAAATTAATGCTAAATGATCCATAAATAAATAAATGATCCGTACCCGAAGGGTAGCATTGGCAGTCTCTAGCACCTTCTGTTGTGTATTTGAAAACATAATCTTTCCGATAAATGTAACATTCTGCATCTAGCCTGAAAATTGCCTTTGGCTACTGTTTTCCTTCCAATCTGCCAACATTCATGACATCAGAATTTCCTTTTGACTGGTGCTATTTAAATCCCAGACCAGCTTGTCATCCATGAGGTCACAACCTCCTATTCACTAACCCGCGGCGATACCTTCTCTGCGGATAACCGCTGTCATTGGCTGAAGGCTGCGGGGAATTGTATAGCAGCTGCATGAATATGTTCATACGGGTCAATCAGGAGGTTTCCACCAGTCCTGGAAAATGTATATTTTTACCAAGCCTATTAAGAAATAGCTTCAGGGCACAAGACAGTGAAGTTACCATTCTCCAGGAATCCTTGTCAATCACTGTTTTCCTAGCATACCTTCAGTTTTTACAGTTTGCATTGTAAACATTTTTAAGGCTGAAGTCCAACCAAACAGCTAAATACACAGATACAATATATGAGGAAGTTGTTTTAGCTACCAAAGGATTTGTAATTTTGTCCATTCAGTTCTGAGATTTACACAGCTCTGCTGCACAACACGGTCTGGCAGTGCAGGAGACTTGATTTTCACTCTTGATTTTGCTGACATTCAGTAACACATCTGTGCACCACCCGCACAGAGAAATGTGGACCTGTGGGCGGGTGCCATTAGTTCTAATGGCACGCCGCCCACACTGGAATGCAGCCGTACTGGCGAGGTTCCCATACGGGCTGCGTTTTCAGAAGAAGTGCAGGGACTTCTTCCCTGTGTGTCATGGGGCACGGGAGTCCATTCAAATGAATGGGCTCTCGTACCTGCGCAAAAACACGGCCCGCACGGCCGCATATATGTGAACCGGGGGTTACTGTACATGTCTTGTCCCTGCCCCAGCCTGTGAATGGACAATGAAAGGAGAAGTAGCAAACTTAAAAGTTCATCCCTCTGTCACTCTGCTCACTCTACCTATTACCATATTTAACCACCTCCCACCCGCCATATAAGGAAATGACTGGCGCAAGGCAGTACTCTTGTTCTGGGGACATCATATGATGTCTTCCCACTCTAACCGCGCATGCATGGCTCTGGGGGTGCGCAGTGAGGTGATCAGTGGTGCGCTGTGTCCCTTGGACACAGAGGATCACCGATCAACAGAAAGAGCCGAAGACGTTGGCTCAGTCATGTGATCAGCTGTGTCCAATCGTGTATTTAAGGAAATGCCGGTTATCTGCATTCCTCTCCTCACGAGCTGTCACGCTGACAGAGGAGAGCCGGTAATCGGCATTCTTCAGAGGGGGCATGTACACTGACCATCAGGGCACTGATGATCAGTGTGCCCTGATGATCAGTGTAGGCCCAGCAGTGCCACCTGTCAGTGCCCATCAATGCCAGCTGTCTGTGCTCATCAATGTCACATGCCAGTGCCCATCAATGACACATCAATGCCACATATCAATGCCTACCAGTGCACATCAATGCCACGTATCAGTGCCCATCTGCGTTGCCTTTCAGTGCCACCTATCAATGCCAGTCAGTGCCACCTATCAGTGCTAGTCAGTGCTGCCTATCAGTGCCTCCTAACAGTGCACATCAGTGCCACCTAACAGTGCCAGTCAGTGCCGCCTATCAGTGCCACCTATCAGTGCCATATATGAGTGCTGCCTTTCAGTGCCCATCAGTGATGCCTGTCAATGCCCATCAGTGCCACCTACCAGTGCCTCCTCATTAGTGCCCATCAGTGCAACCTATCAGTGCCCATCACTGCAGCCTCATTAGTGCACAAAATTTTATAACAAAAAACTAAGAAAAAAAAACATTTTTATTTCAAAATTTTCAGTTGTTTTTGGTTTGTTTAGCAAAAAATAAAAAAAACCCAGAAGGTGATTAAATACCACTAAAAGAAAGTTCTATCTGTCTCAAAAAAATGATAAAAATTCCATATGAGTACAGTGTTGCATGACCGCGCAATTGTCATTCAAAGTGTGACAACACTGAAAGCTGGAAATTGGCCTGGGCAGGAAGGGGGTGTAAGTGCCCGGTAGGCAAGTGGTTAACCACTTGCCCTCCAGAGGATTTCCCCCCCTTCCTGACCAGGCCATTTTTTGCATTATGGCGCTGCGTTACTTTAACTCACAATTGCACTGTCATGCAGCTCTGCACCCAAATGAAATTTATGTCCTTTGTTTCCCAACAAATAGAGCTTTCTTTCGGGGTATTTGATTGCCTCTACGTTTTTTATTTTTTGCACTATAAAAGACAAACCATTTTGAGAAAAAAAAAATATTTTTGACTTTTTGCTATTAAACATGTCCACTAAAAAATAAAAAAAAAATCAAATTTCGTCATAAATGTAGGCCAAAATGTATTCTGCTTCATGTCTTTGCTAAATAAAAAATCCCAATACATGTAAATTAATTAGTGTACGTGAAAGTTATAGCATTTACAAATGGCGGTATAGATTTACTAGTATTTGCGGCGATCAGCGACTTATAGCGGGACTGCGGCGGGCATTCTGACTCTGGGGGAACTGACTTTGTGTCATCCCCAGTGACACCAATACAGTGATCAGTGCTAAATAAAAGCACTGATACTGTACTAATGACACTGGGCAGGAAGGGGTTAAGATGTGGGGCGATCAAAGGGTTAACTGTGTCCTGTGTGTCTTTTACATAGTGGGCAGTGTCTGTGTGCTTCACTGTAAACACACTGCTTTGTATGGCTGTGGTATGCATAGCCATGCAAAGCAATGTGCAGGAACTGGCAGGGGAGAGAACTGTATTGTTTACAAACACAGCCCCCCCCCCCCCGTCGGAGATGCTCAGCAATCACCGGGTGCCGGCAAGTAACCGCAGGCCGGGACCCGGTGATTGACAGTTGAGGCTGTGAATGGCTGCACGGGTAGGGCGGATGCGCACCACCTGTGCATGCCCCCTACTGGGAAGTGCAAGATCACGTATATATACGTGATTTTGCGCACACGTGCCGCCCTGTAGCAGTCCTTCTGCAATAGGGCGGACGGGAAGCAATTAATTTGGTGTCTTTTTTCTGCCTTTGGACTAAGTCATGGTGTTTTCTTATAGTTCTGTATGATAACTTACAGTGGGTATATAAAAGAATCACCCCCACCCCCCCTTTAAACTAATCTAATTTTTTGCCTTGCAGCCTGAAATGAAGACAGACACCATTTTTGTTTTATCCAGCTGTATTTACTGCAACTTATTACATCCAACTGAAAGATATAACACCATGTCAGAAAAAGAAATTCAAAAACAGAATCACTGGAAAAAGGATCACCCCCTCCTAAAAATGACTTGTAAATTTAGGTGTAGCTAATCACCTTCTCAATGGCACACAAAGCCATTTGACTTTCAACTGTGATTAGCAGTGATCACTTTGATTAGCTCAGCATGAATGGAGATTTTCCTGGAGCATTTCAGTCCTTGGTAGTGCAACTGAAGCAAATAATCAACTATAGGTGGCAAGGCACTGTCCAAAGATCTCCAGGATAAAGTTGTGGACAGGCACGAGTCTGGAGATGGATACAAAACAATTTCAAAGGTTTTATCAATGCCTAGAAGCACAGTGAAGTCTATTATTAAGAAGTGGAAGGTATTTGGTAGAACACAGACCCTCCTGGGATCAGGACGTCGCTCCAAACTGGATGAAAGAGCCAAGAGGAAACTGGTCAGAGAGGGTACCAAGAGGCCTACAGCAACTCTGAAGCAGTGTCAGGAATTGATGACATGGAGTGGTCATTGTGTGTATGTGACAACAATATCACAAATTCTCCCCAAATGTGGCTTGTATGGGAGGGTTGCAAGAAATAAAGCCGCTCCTCAAGAAAGGCCACATGCAGTCACCACTGAGCTTTGCCAAAACGCACCTTCTGAGGCCACATGGAAAAAGATATTCTGGTCAGATGAGACTAAAATTGAATGATTTGGCCTCAACACTAAACAATACGTCTGGCGGAAATCCAGTCCAGCTCCCCACCCAAATAACACCATTCCTACAGTAAAGCATAGAGGTGGTTGTAGCAATGGTGCACACAGAGACTCATCCCCTCCCTCGCTGTGGGGTGATATGTGGCCTGAGTGATGAGAAAGGGTCAAAGGAGGCCAAAGCACAGCAGGGAGCTTTGAGCTATAAAACCTCATGAGCTGGGTGCCCAGGTGTCTAAGAAACTGTACAATCTGGCACATCGTAAAAGTATAAAAACCGAGTCCCTCACTGAACTTCAAAAGACCTTCCAAGGGGTCGTCAAAACAGACTTACTTTTAAAAACTCACTTTACATATATGTTGATATCTTCACGTAGGACATAATTACCTAAACAAGGAGCCTATATTCGGAAGGCTCAATTTGAGACCATTCTCCTGATAGGTTACACCCCTTAACCTCTTGCCGTCCACCTGCTGTTTATAAACGGCAGGGCGGTGGCAGTCCAGGGGCGGGTTGCCGTTCATAAACGGCACCCGCCTTTTCTAGCTGTGCGCGCTCCCTGGGAGCGCGCACCACCGCGATCTGGTGCCCGCTGTGTCCTCCAGACACAGTGAAACACTGATCGTCAGACGGGACCTCTGTACGAGGTACCCGATCATGTGATCACTGATTGGCGAATCAGTGATCACATGCAAAGTAGTAAGCAAGATGTCACTTGTGACATCTTAGCTTACTACGTGTGAAATCTGTGAATGATCACAGAAGTCACATGGTACAAGGCTATTCACAACAGCCTTGTACCATGTGACAAGCTGTGACCACTCACAGCTCACTCAGTAATTCTCAATGACTGCAAGAATGCAGACAGAGAGAAAGAGAAATGATTGCTTTTACATCCTATATGGGTGTAAAAGCAATCAGTGTAAAAAAAAAAAAAAAAATCTTCATCACCCCCCACAAGTAGTACAGTGTCACCTTGGTGACACTGTACTGCTAGGGTGACAGTATGCAAAAAAAAAAAAAAAAAATAAAAAAAAATAAAATAAAAATGTAAAAAAAAAATGTTTAAAAATTATAATTTTTGGTTATAAACTAATTTGGATTTATTTTTTACTAAAAAAAATAACGGAATAAATTGTGGCCAAGATTTATGATGAAATATTTATTTGCAAAATTTTATTAAAAAAAACACTTTTTTTCAAAATTTTTGGACATTTTCATTTACATAGTAAAAAAAATAAAAATCCCAGCGGTGAATAAATACCACCAAAATAAAGCTTTATCTGTCTCAAAAAAATGGTAAAAAAATTCATATGGGTACAGTATTGCATGACCGCGCAATTGTCATTCAAAGTGTGATAGTGCTGAAAGCTAAAAAATTGCCCTGGACAGGAAGGGGGTAAAAGTGTCCGGACAGGAAGTGGTTAACTGGCATACATAGAAAAGCAGGAAAGCATATCTCCTGAACCATTCAAGTGTATATTTCATGTTTCACCTCTAACCATTCTGCAGATGCGGCTGAGTATTAATATTACTAGTGCCCAGGCCGGAAAATGTACCTAAGAAAAGTTATCCGCCAAAATATAAGCAAGGAGAGATTCTGGTTGTAACTTAGGTCTCCACCCAACACCCCTCCCCAAAAGGAGACCATTAGTTACTACTCCAAAGAGACACCCTGCTGGGATTTGCTAGAAAAAGGCTGTTATGCTTGGAGTGTGTGTGAGAGAAAGAAGAGTCTCCTGTTTTTAACATCGAAGCTAGCAGTAGAGACAATAAATCCTTTTTGGCTCATGAGACTTGAAGCTGCTTAACCCAAGGCTTTTTGGCAAGTACTTATCTACCTAAACTCCTTTCTCTTATCTTTTTGCTGTGTTTATTGCTCTCTGTATTTATACATATATTGGTTACATCTTTTTTCTGTAAATATTTTGATTGCACCCTTTTGACCTTTTAGTAATACATCTTTCTTTCTGACAGTGTTGAACTGTTTCTAAAGCTCTTTAATGCAACTTTACGAATTCCTGCTACTATGTGTGTTTAACCCTCTGTATAACCTGTCTGCGGTGACAGTGGTATACAGACGATTATCCAATCATCCTAGTGTTATTGCTGATATTGCCGAGTTTCCTCTTTCTCTGTACAAAAAGGAGGTGGTGGTGGCAGTGTGAAGGGTTAATTGCGTAATTAACCTGACCCAGTAACAATCGCGCTCAGGCTGCCGGTACATCGATTTGTGGTCCGGTGAGCTGGAAAATAGTTGTGCAGGGTGCAGCTGGGCATGGCATTGTTACGCACGAGACATCGCAGTTTTAGATTAGCTAGTTCTTCAGTTACGACTTTGGTGAGAAGGTTAGGGGTCTGACGCCGCGCGATCGTCACAGTGGTAATAATCTGTTATGGGGGGTTTCTCTGCAGCAGGGACTGGAGCACTTG